TACATAACTATGGGCTTGTGGAGGGGGGTTGAGTAAGGATGCATTCCGTAAACCAGAGTAAGTAGAGATATTGGATGTATTTCTAGTGATCGGGTTCATAAAAAAAATGCTTTTTAAGTGATATAGATCTGACAAATCTATGCACATCAATAAATGTGCGAAACTTATCTAGCTTACTGCTAGGTGCAAATTTCAACCCTTTATCTAACAAACCAATTTCTTGAGGTGTGTGGTATACCACCAAGGTTTAAAAATACCTTTCCCTATTAAGTTTTCCTCTTTTTTGGGTTTGTTGACCCTTTTGCCTACCCGTTGTCCTCTAATCGGATGCTTCTTTTGCGTGTATGGCCATGCCCTAAAAAATGGGGTATGTGTAAAATTATCTCCCTGGTGTCTAGGATTAGTCATTGGGGGAGGAAAATGGGTATTGTTAACCCATGGTGAATTAGGTTGATGATCATAATGTTGTTCAGCATAGGGTCTAGGACCCGGTGTCCTTCCAATTATTCCCTCTGGGTGGCGCTCTATAATTTCCTCTAGGAGGATCATAGTAGGTGTATTCCCTATTGTTGTTGGGGGGGGGGGGGGGGTTGTACTGGAAATGGGCAGGTTTTTTGAATTGGTTATTCCTATAACCTTGATCCGGATACCATTCATAATTTCTAAAACCAATATTCCCATTAGGTGTAGAACGTAATGGTTCAAAACGATTATGAGTTTGAACATTATATTCATTAATGGGATGTGTTCTTGTGGGTGATTGATAATGGCTAGATTTTCTAGGACATTGCTGAGAAGGTCCTTTCCATCCACTTTGTCTCAAGTGGTTTGGGTGTATGTGAAGTGACCTCCATGGGTATTGGAGAGATTAAAGTTATCTCATCTTTATTAATCTGCCATTTAAAGACCGTATTGTCTGCATAGTCCCTTATGGTCGCGTACATACTTTCTAAGTTTTTTAAGAGATTTACTATAAGACACAGTCTAAAAGCAAAGCGCCCGCAGTAGACAGTTAACTTTTGTTCTGTACATGGCATTTCTATCAGTGCATAGACGTTGGAAAGGCGTCTATTTCTTGACAATCATGAATTCCCCAAAAAATAAATTTTTTACCCTATGAATTTTTTTTATTTTAAAAGTCATATATTCTTTAAAGTTAAGACCAGATATTTGGGAAAGGAAATTTCAATGTGAATATGTTTCTACGGCGATTTTTCATTCCTTTAGATGTGCTTCTAAGACATCTGCTTTTTTAGACAGATTCCTTTATTGTGTCCATTAGTAAATTCTCTTTCACATCTATTTGTTAGAAGCTTTCTTTAGTAAATGTCTTTGCCATCTAAAAGTAAACGGATTCCAATGAAAAGTAAGTGCACTTACACGCCATCTATGCACTTTAGTAAATCAGGGCCAGCCTGTCACATGGACTTAAGCTACATTCTGAGAGAGTCCAGCTGTCTTCCACCTCTCCTGCAAAGCGGTTTTAAAGGAGACGTCCCATCCATCCACCCACCTACTGTCCACCAAGGCTTGCCAGCGAACAAGGACTGATGAGATGCCCTTTTACTCTCATCCTTGTGTGTGTTTTTTAACCCTTTCCTTTACTTGTTTTTTATTAAATTGATACACTTAGATGGCAGCGCCTTCTGTTATTTTATTGTTTAGTGCACAGATATCCAATATCCTGAGACTACAGCTTCTTGCATGGGACTTTATCACTCTTTCTCCATTTGCGCATCAAGTTTTTTATATTTTTGTACTTTGAATGTCGCTGCCCCATTAGATCTCACCTGCAAAGCAAAGCACTCCATATGGTCCAGTCAGCACAGCCTGGGCTGTCTTTCTTTCCAGACACTTCCCCAATCACTAAATGACCACTGAAAAGTGAGAGATTGTCTCAATCTTTTGTTTTTGTAGAAAGAGCTTCCACCACAACTCAGTCACAGAAATGTTTTCTCCATAGAGGCTTTTAGCCACGTGATTATCTGAGTGAGGGTAGACCAATTCATTTCAGGCAGCACCATTATAGCTTGCCAGGTATCCTCCTCCAAGGATTTTTTGGCCAACTCAGACAAATTGTTTGATGGGAACCTTGTTGAGGCATGCTGCAGTCTACCCTTTCTCTTTTAAGTCCATTATCGAAATATTAATGGCATTAAAATTTGAAATCAGTACCAGGATTGTTCCTTGATGTACCATTGTGATAAGGTCCTTGTAAGAGGACATCCTGTCGACTACACTATGTAGGCGGGGTCAGGGACTGAGGTACCCAGCTGGAGAGGAGCACACATACACACACACACACACACACACACACACACACACACACACACACACACACACACACACACACCAAGATGTGATCCGTTGGCATGTATTTAAGGAAATGGTTAATAAAGTTATTTGTGGAAAGCACTTTCAGGCACTAGAAACAAGGAAAAAAACACAGAAGATGTTCAGAAAGTGCAATAGACCAGTCATTAATGGAACAGTGTTGTAGTTGATGCCTGGGATATACTTCCAGCAGAGGTAGGGAGCCAGTCAACAGTAAATAGTTTTAAACATTTAAATGTAAAAAACAGTAAATAGTTTAAATGTTTGGGACAAGCATAGATCTATAGACAAAAAAGTTGACAAAGAAACAACAACCCCCCCAAAATAAAAAAAAAGAAAGAAACAAAAAAAAAAAAAAACAAATCCCCCCCCCCCAAAAAAAAAAAAAAATTGAAAAAAAACAGAACTCGATGGACCAGTCGGTCTTTTTCTGCCGTCACCTTTCTATGTTTTAGGACACTAAACTATAGCAGTAAGGTTCTGTTCCAGGATGAGCCTGTTTTACCAGAGAATGGTTTCTGCTAAAGGCTGAGTGTGTGAAGTGGATAGGGGCTCCTCTGTGCTGTAAGGGGGGTCTTTCAAAGTTGCTTTGGGAAGTGGAATGTAGTATGAGCACCAGAGATATCCTTGTACTACCTCTCTTTGAACAGGAACCTCTCCCTGCTCTATGCTTTCCTATAGAGGAGTCTCTGTGCCTGACCTATCCACCTAAAAAGGTTTGCCTCATACAAGATGGCCACCAAAAGTCATCATAGATTACAGCTTCCTCTAAGCCTCTGCTCCATCTGTACAGTGGCGCAGCACTACTGGATGAAAGACATACTGCACCTGCCTACACTCATACAGTAGATCCTTGGGCTAAATGCAGCTCCTAAATGCAAATTAAGTATTATTTTGTGACACAGTACTTGACAGTGGTCCTACATTGCTCTACTACAATAAAGACAATTGGTTTCTATTTATAATTACCTCCACTGTTTTCCATACACCAACGAATACAGTACTTTGAAACCATGAACATGTCTCTGCAGTAAAATTCTAATTTCATATTCTAATAAATAGAATATATAACTAGCACAATGCCAAATTATGATAATTTAAATATTCCATTACTGTAATTCATTTAATTTTGCTCCGAAATGTATATCTTTTTATTAGGAACTTCATTAATTCAAGTGCTACTAAAAAACTGTAAAAGATTCACTGCACATTCATTAACCAAATAATTACAATATAAGATGCTATTTCTAAAACTCTTTCCTAGTAACAACAGACCTAGATAAATCTTGTAGTCAAGGGAGATATTGGAAGTCGGAATTTAATTCAATGTGCCGGCAAACACACAAAAATGTAATAACAGTTGTGTTGGCCTTTAACCTTTTTTATGACAAGATGTCATTGATGCCTAGGTAATCAGGCCGAATTTAGCAGAATCAGGTAACGCAATTATAATGTCAGTTAAAATGGATGTAAAGTCAAAAGGTTTTTTTTTTTTACCCTAATACATTCTCTCCATTAAGGCAAAAAAAATGTCTCACCACTTGTCTTACCCATTCCATCTCTAAACACTTACCTGACTCCTTCACTTCCTGGGCTTCCTGCGCTCCTGCTGCTGTAAAGAGAGAGCGGATGCGTAATTGGACTCAAATAATCTTAGGTGGATCCTTGGTGAAAGTAGTGTGACAACATTTCTAAAACTAATTTTTTTTCTTGGAATCCAAATTCACAGCGCTACCCTTCTTAATCTTTCTCACATGTGCTACTCAGCAGTTACAAAAACAAATAAAGTCCACATAAATAAAAGTGTTCAAATTCTAAAGTCTCTATACATGGCAGGATATAGGGGGGTGTGCTGAGTTGGGCTATGCCGGTCAGATTTTGGTTGTGCCCCACAATGCAAGTAGCCTTTTCCCGCCTCCACCCCTGGACACACTGACCCACCATGCAACTCCTCTTATAGCCATGTCATTTTTCACATGACTGTCATATGCCTTTAAGTGTTTTTCTGTATTTTGTCTCTGCTTCTCCCTTTCCTTTGGTTTAGTTAATGCTGTATAGATAGCCCACCCTTTTTCCCAGAAATGCATTGCAGCTTCTAGCCTCATGTCATGAAGCAGGTCACATTATGATCTTTTGACCTATCAGATGTTCATTGGTGTAAGATTCTCTCAGTTTATGGAATAAACTTCACAAGATCTACAAGATATCATCTCGACTGAGTCACTGACTGTGGTATCCAACTGAGATTGGAGTTATCGCTATCTCATCAACTGTAAGTTACAGAGATCACACTTTCAACGCTTAGATTGGAGAGAGACAGAACAATCAAAAGATTAGTGAAACGTCTTCATAGGAAACTTGCTAGCTTTGAATACACAGTCAGATGTTTTATGGACAGCTACAGAGAGTGCAGCCATCTCTACACAAGCCTGTACATGTCTGCAAGTATATCTCAGCATAACACTCATCAGTGTCAGGACAAATTGTTGATCTGAATGTCTTACAACTGCAAGTTTATACACTGCATCTGTATGGCTTGTCTGTAAATCTTGTAAGAAAGTGAAAGAAAACTTTTCTGCAATCATTGCCTAGGAAACCTGAGCTCACCCACAGAAAAATTGATACATTTCTCCGTAAACTTTCTATCAACCCCTCTCCTTGCTAACATGATGTTACAGGAAAGTAATATACAGTCTGGGGAAACTAATACACAACCACAATCAGAGCTTCATCCAGAGCAGGACTTAAACCCTGAATTATACAATAGAAAAAAATGCTTTAAAAAACCAAGCTGGAAAATACAAGAGAATTTTAATGCTGACAAGTTAGAATTACAGTCTAATATTAATGACTTATGGTCTAATACTGTTGAATGCATGTTTGCTCTTTCCCAACAATCTCCTGAGCCAATACAACTAGAGGGCACTATCCAGCAATTGAATGTTGCTTATGAGAATTATCAAAGACTGTGTGTTTAAATATATTGCTCTCTTAAAGCGGTACAACACTCAAGGGTCTGTCACGTACCTGGTTGGGAGCCTGATGTGGAGAGAAGGTGTCCTCTTACTACTCCCGCTCGGAGCCCCTGATACTGGGAACAGAGGGCGCTGAGCCAGGAGTGGCACAAGTGCCGGGTGGGTCTGGAGCTGATGGTAGGCAGGTGAAGACCCAGAAGATCTGGATGCAGGCCAGGTGCAGATGCAGGAACATGGGTGCAGCAGCTGGCAGGTATGGCGGCAACCAGGATACAGGCCAGGTGCAGATACAGGTATATATGTGCAGCAGTGTCAGACAAGCCGCGTCAGGGTCAATCGAGCAAATCCGGTACAAGGGAGCAGGCAAGTGGATAGTCAGGGATAAGCCAGGTGCAGGCAGAGTTCTTTCTTAGTCAGGGTCAGATCAGATACAGGCAACAGAATCAGGTTATGGAGTGCAGAACGTTATAGACCAGAAGGCATAAGCTAAACTGTGCTGGTGGTTTAAATAGCCGCCTTGCAGTGATGTGTATACTAGTGCGCATGTGCGCACTCGCACGTTCCCGCGCATGTGCACTCGCAGCGCCGCGGCTCGAAGGTATCCGGTGACGACGCACAGCTGCGTGAGGGAGAGATCCCTGACAAGGTGATTGGAAGAATTAAGGAGTTTTGAGGAGCTCAATCCTGAAAGAGACAATTTAGTAGCGTGAACAAAGACAAAGGCAGAAGTGAGAATAACACAGCTCCATGAATCCAGATCTTATCGCTCTGCGTCTACTAGACGCTCTTCAAGATCTTCAAAATCCCTACAATCAAGGTCTTCTACTCTCAGTCAACAACTAATAAAAGCCCGTGCTTAAGATGAAGCTTCTAAAAATCAAACAGCTTTTGTCCAAAAGAAAGCAGAAATGGAGGCTCAGGCTGCACATAAGAAAGCAGAAATAGAGGCTCAAGCTGCATATAAGAAAGCAGAAATGGAGGCTCAGGCCACAGAAATGGAGGCTCAGGCTGCACATAAGAAAGTAGAAATGGAGGATCAGGCTGCAGAAATGGAGGCTCAGCATAAAGAAAGCAGAAATGGAGGCTCAGTCCGCAGAAATGGAGGCACAGGCCACACATAAGAAAATAGAAATGGAGGCTCAGGCCACAGAAATGGAGGTTCAGGCTGCATATAAGAAAGCAAAAATAGAGGCTCAGGCCGTAGAGATGGAGGCTCAGGCCGCATATAAGAAAGCAGAAATGGAGGCTCAGGCCGCACATCAGAAAGCAGAGAAAGAAACTGAAGCCACACGCCAAAGGGCAGAAATTGAAATTTTGGAAAAACAATATGAGCATAACACAGCCATGGCAAGGTTACGGGTCTTAGAACAAGCCGCTAGTGAAAATGAAGAGACAACAGTTCCAGACACTCAGTTGTATTTTATGTCTCAGATTCTTCACACACCTCTCCAGAACATCAACTCCCTGTCACAGCAGTCAAAGTACTCAATCAAAGTCTCTTCTCTGCACCTACTGTACCTCAAGACGATTTGCCCTTATATCCTCCAATACATCAGACTGCAGCATCTCAGCTAGCCGCAGACACTGGTGTGTATTTAATAGACCGTCCATCAAACTTTGGCACCAACAGAGTACCTCCTAGCAAATACACTACTCTACAAACTAACATGCCAATAGACTTTAAGCCAGCTCCGGCATTGAATGCCTTAGCAGCAACATATGTTCCCAAGTCACTCACGTAAGTCCACCAACCGTCACAACCAACTCTGTTCCACCTGCAGTCATGCACCCAAAATCTGAAAACATGGACATGTCACAGTTTGCTAAATACATGCTCCGCAGAGAGCTTGTTAAGACAGGCCTCACCAAGTTTGCTGATAAGCCTGAAAATTACAGCGGCTGGAAATCCACTTTTAAGGCCACAATGAGTGACCTAGACATCAATGCCACAGAGGAATTAGATTTACTCATCATATGGCTAGGTCCCCAGTCCACTGAACGCATCAAGAGGCTCAAAGCAGTTCATATTGACAACCCTGCTGCAGGCCTTAATGCTGCTTGGGGCAGACTTGAACATACCTTTGGCAGCCCAGAGGCCATTGAAGATGCTTTATTCAAAACGTTGCAAAGCTTCCCATGGATTTCTGCTAACGACAATCTAAAGTTTCAAGAACTCAGCGATATTCTAATAGAGCTTCAACTTGCTAAGGCTGACATCAACTTACCTGGTCTCCTTGACACCTCTCACAGCATCAAATCTATTGTTCTCAAGCTACCAAATGGAATTCAAGAAAGATGGGCAGTGCTTGGATCAAAGTATAAGGAAGAACATTGAGTTGCCTTCCCTCCCTTTTCCTATTTCTGCCTGTTCATCAAAAGAATTGCAGACACTAAGAATGACCCAAGTTTCTCATATGGGGACTGTAACTCTCTCAGTACACTCACTCCAAGACCTACAAACACACGTATGCCGCACAGAGACTGTAGAGGTCCAGCGTTGGTGAAAAGGACTAATGTTCTACCTGCGCCTGCTACAGTTGTTGAAAAGGCTGATCAAAACAAGAAAATTGAGGACCCAAATCGCCAATGTCCAATACATAACAAACCACATCCACTTAAGAAATGTATCGACTTCAGAAAGAAAACCCTCCAAGAATGTAAGCAACTTTGAGGAGGAAATTTGGGGTTTGCTACAATGCTGTGCCTCCACAGAACACTTTGCAAAGGACTGTAAAGCGATCATCAAATGTATAGAGTGTGACAGTGTGATGACCATGTGCAAACTCTTCATCAATATTCGCACAACTTTACTACACTCACAAACAATCTTCCTGAGGCAAAGCAAGGCAGGGAGCACCTATATCAAGCAGCACCTACCAGCCCAGTGTTCTCTACATATACAGAGGTCTGTGGAGAAGGATTCTGCAACAAATCCTGTGCAAAGATATGCTTGGTACGTGTATACCCGAAAGGTCAACCTGAAAAGGCCATAAGACTGATAATACTATTTTGGATGATCAGAGTAACAGATCTCTTGCAAGAACTCAGTTTTTTGAACTGTAGAACATAACTGGAGATCCTCTGCTGTATACTCTAAGCACTTGTTCCGACACTACAGAAGTCTTAGGTAGGAGAGCCAGTGGTCTTGTAGTTACTCCTCTGACAATGTGGAAATATCCTTGCCCACTATCACTGAGTGCAACCAGATTCCAAACACCAAAGAGGAGATCCCTATTCCTGAAGCTGCTTTTCACCATTCTCACTTAAAGCACATAGCCAACCAAATACCAGCCCTCGATGAAAGTGCCGATATCCTGCTGTTACTCGGTCGAGACATCCTAAGGGTGCACAAAGTTCATCATCAAATCAAATGGTCCACACAATGCACCATATGCTCAGCGTCTGGATCTAGGATGGGTCGTCATAGGCAATGTCTGCCTAGACAAGGGCAGGAGGTCCTACTCAGTCTCTTCTAGAGATGAGCGAAGTATTCAAAAATTCGATTCGGCTGATTCGGCGAATTCGAGGAATAAATTTGATTCGATGCGAATATATTCGCTGCGAATTTAACTTATAAAAGGGTGTTTCTAGGCTTCAGAGAGCCTTTATATTAGTGCAGAACACTGTACCTTTAATTTAAATGCCCTTGGAGTCTGCTGGGGAAGAGAAATAATACTGTCAGTCAGTATGACATGCAGATGAGTGCCGTCGATCTTAGAATCACCGCACACTTCACTCATTTGGGCAGTCACGGGGCCAAAACCAGAGTGTGGAGCCACAGTGTGGCGGTGGAGGCAGCAGCAATGGGAGGCCATACAGCACCCTATGACAAAAATGGAACCCTCCAGCAGTGTGAGGAGACCTGAAAGTGGCACATGGCAGAGTGTGGCGATGGAGACAGCAGCAATGGGAGGCCGTACAGGGACCCATGACACACTCTGGACCTGGCAGCAGCATGAGGAGGCGGTACGGGGGCCCATGGCAGATTACGGGCCTGGCAGCAGCAATGGGAGGCCCGTAATCTGCCAGCACCCTATGACAAAATGGAACACACCAGCAGTGTGAGGAGACCTGAAAGTGGCACATGGCAGAGTGTGGCGATGGAGACAGCAGCAATGGGAGGCCGTACAGGGACCCATGAGAGACTCTGGACCTGGCAGCAGCATGAGAGGAGGCGGTACAGGGGCCCATGGCAGATTACGGGCCTGGCAGCAGCAATTGGAGGCCCGTAATCTGCCAGCACCCTATGACAAAATGGAACCCAGCACCAGCAGTGTGAGGAGACCTGAAGTGGCACATGTTTGGGGCATGATTCATGGCGGATTTAGTCAGTTGTGTCAGGAACTGGTGGTTTGAAATCCAGACTAATCCACGCCTGATTCATTTTCACAAACGTGAGTCTCTCCACACTTTGGGTGGACAGTCGTGTCCTCCGCGGAGTTACAATACCTCCTGCCGCACTAAACACGCGCTCCGATGCCACGCTACTGGCCGGGCATGACAGCCTTTCAAGGGCAAATTCAGCTAGTTGGGGCCAAAGGTCAAGTTTCGTTGCCCAGTAGTCAAGGGGATTGTCTACCTCGGTTGGCAGGGTGCTGTCCAAGTAGGCCCAAGCCTGTTGTTTGAGGTCCTGCTCCAGGTCCACCTGATGCTGCTGCTGCTGCGGCTGGTTAGTAGTTTCCTCACTGCGCTGGTGAAGAAAGCTACTCATCATCGACTGCAGACTGAGGCAGCCGCTGCTGGTGGAGCTGCCACTGCTCCTACCACCCCACCCCTCCCCTGCTGCCATGGCAGCGGAACGCGAGCGCACAGGGCCCACAGTGTCTGAGGATGGACGTTGGCGCAGAAAGGCAGAGACCAACTGACTACATAGGTGGTTTTTATAGTACTTTTATTTTGGCCTCCCTCTCAGCAGGTGTGAAAAAGGCCACCATTTTTTGAACGGTAGCGAGGGTCCAACAAGGTGGGACAGCCAAAAGTCATCCCTCTGTCTGATGGTTATTATTCGGCTGTCGCTACGCAAGCAACCGAGCATGCTATGGGCCATTTGTGCCAAGGAATGCGAGGGACTCCCTGCCTCCATCTCCACAGCATACTGCCACGGTGCGTCTGGGTCCTCTGTCTCCTCCTCCTCCTCCTCTACCAGATGCTCCTGCTCCTCCACTCCTGTCCGCTGAGTGGAAAAACCACCCATTTCACTCAATAATTCCTGAGCACAAATGTCCTCCTCTACCTCCCCTCCTCTTCTTCCTGTCCTGCATCCACAGGGGTCATGTGGCGTTGAGATCTGTGCGCCACGTCTACCGCACCCTGACCAGCCATTGTTAACAGCATTTGTTCCAGGACGTGCAACAGAGGAATGACGTCGTTCATCCCATAGTCCCTGCCAACTCACGAATAGCGTGGCCTCCTCAAAGGGCTTCAGCAAGCGGCAGGTGTCACGCATGAGCTGCCAATGGCTGACATCGAAGTTACACAGGGGAGTACCTTTATCCGCTTGTAACATCAGGAAATCGGTGATGGCCTTTCGCTGTTCGTAAAGGCGGTCTAACATGTGTAGGGTTGAATTCCACCTTGTTGCAACGTCGCAGATCAGGCGATGCTGTGGAATTCCGTTCTGCCGCTGCAGCTCAAGGAGGGTGTGCTTTGCGGTGTAGGAATG